CCTTTGGAAAACTGTAAGAGAATGTATTCCTAGAAATGAAAAAACACGTTTAACTTATTCTGGGAATGTTGTTGAAGTAGCGAACAAATTTAATGAATACTTTTCTTCAGTCGGAGCAAAAGCGGCAGAAGAATCCAAAGCATTGATTACTTCATATGGTCTTACATCGACTCATCCAGAGATACCACATAAATTTAGTGCAGAAATTTAGTGCAGAAATTGACAAGTTTCATTTTCACCCTGTGTCCTGTGACGTGATTCGTAAAATTGTGTGTTCTTTTCCATCCAATAAGTCCCCTGGACCAGATAAAGTTTCTGTGAAAGTGATCAAAGATGCCTTACCATACATTCTTCAACCTCTTACGGATATTGTTAACTGCTCTTTAAGAGAATCTTTGTTTCCCAGCACCTGCAAGTTGTCAGAAGTTATTCCCCTATTAAAAGAAGGGGATCACAAAATTGCTAAAAATAATCGGCCAATTTCCTTGCTACTTGCTGCATCAAAGATCTGCGAGCATGTAGTTTTGGAACAATTTACCGCATATGTGGAACAGAAGAAATGCTTAAGCGTACACCAAAGTGGAAACAGGAAGCTGCACTCCACTGAAACATTGAATTTATTTATATCGGATAAGATCTTAAAGTCTATGGACGACAAGGAGGTCGTAGCTGTAATTCTACTAGACCTTTCTAAAGCATTTGACAGTATCGATCATGTATTGCTTCTAAAAAAGCTCCAAGTATTGGGAGTGTCCGATGACGCTTTATGTTGGTTTAAAAGTTACTTGACAGGACGACAGCAGGTTGTGCGCATTGGATCGACTGTCTCTGAAACACGCACACTCAATCATGGCGTTCCGCAGGGCTCAATTCTCGGTCCCATGTTATTCAACATATATATTAATGATTTACCTATGGTACCAAAGAATGGTAATTTGAAGTCTTACGTCGACGACTCGAAGCTACTTTTGTCATTTTCCGTCAATGAAGTGAACTCAGCGGCTGCTAAGCTTAACGAAGATCTACGGAGAGTCGTTTCTTGGTGTTCTCTAAATAGTCTGCTTATTAATCCCAATAAGACGAAATTACTTGTGTTCGCAACTTGTTATATGTTGAAACAGATACCGGCAGATTTCCATATTTTACTATTGGGGAAAAAACTGTTTCCTGTGACCTCAGCCACTGATCTAGGCGTGACACTGAATAGTGGTTTGACGTACGATGAACACGTCACAAAACTGGTTTCCTCTTGTGTCGGTAGCCTGTGTCAAATTAATAGAGCAAGGCACCTTTTTGATATGAAGACGTTAATTCTTTTAATAAACACATTGGTTTTTAGTAAACTCTATTACTGTTCAACCATATGGTCTAATTCATCGAAGAAAAACATTGCAAAATTGCAAAAAGTTCAGAATTTCGCAGCACGTATTGTCACAGGCACAAAAAAATTCGACCATATCACTCCTTCTTTAAAACAGCTTAACTGGTTACCAGTCAATTATATGTTGCGATTCCGAGATACAGTAAAGGCTTATAAATGTGTTAATGGTATGGCCCCATCATATTTATGTTGTATGTTCCAAACAAGATCACAATTACACAATTTGAACACAAGATCTAGCGAATTATTGGAAATACCTTTATATAGAACAGCGACCGGACAACGTTCTTTTCGCTACCGAGCTTCTTGTTTATGGAATAGTTTGCCAGAATGGCTAAAAGACCATAATCTTAATTTGGAACGTTTTAAATGCAGGCTACGAAGTTATTTGGTTCAACAATTTCTCGATGAACAGAACTGAATTACATCTTTTACTGACTAAATTTTAAATTAAATAGTATTAATAAGTATTTTACCTTAAATATAACTGGCTTGATATTATATATTTTGGTGTTAATAGTATATTATATAGTTTTTAGAATATAATTTAATTAAGTAATTACTTTTTATAACTTCTGTATTGAACACTGAAAAACCCTTCTGGGAGTGTTTAACATTAATAATAATAATAATAATCTTCGTTGATGATTCATAAAGGAATTACTTGAAGCAAGACTTCATTTCTTTGTTTGGAAGTTAAATTATTGGTTGATTTAAACTCATCAATAGATAATGTCATTGTTCCAACATTGGATTTCGTATTCTTCTCTTTAGGAGGGGAACTCATGTGTAATAGTGTATCGTGAGGTTTACCGCAATAAACAAACCCTCGAAATTCAACTATTTTTGCCTCGGCAAATAATTGCCGAGGTCTGTCAATAATTTTCGAGTTTGCCTCGGCAATTTTTTTTGCCGAGGCACGCAATGAAATCACCTTAAATAATTCGGCACCCTTCGGCATTCACGTCGGCAGTTGTAATTAAAGTAAAGTACATACAGAAATTATTGTAAACAAATATTATAACGAGCATAGATTCTGACGTTTTACAATTTGTTGTTATTTTACAAATTCCTGATTCAAAATGTTTTTATGAAAGAATAAACTTGACGGTAATCACACGACAGTCCAAAAGATAAAACAAAGTTTCTCGACGTGCCGTCTTTAAACCATCAAGTATTCAAGATTATTCTTTATTTCAGCTGAAGCAGATGCTGAAAAGCTCAAATTTTGAATATTTTGTAAAGTAGTTTTTTTTATGAATGAAATCTTCTGTTGTTCAGCCGACGTCGACGACAACAATTCGAACAAAGAAGTGATACAAAAAACGAACACTGTAGTTTGTAAATTTAAGTAAAAAACGAACAGACGCTGTAGTTTGTATATTAAATAATTTAAGGTACAACGGGTGGAATTGCCTCGGCATTTTTTTGCCGAGGCAAACTATGAAAAATCGTAACTTGCCTCGGTATTTGCGTCGGCAATTGCCGAGTGCCGAGGCGAATTTCGAGGGTTGCATCCAGGACTTCTGCAACGGATGGAAGAGTTGCATGTTCATGAGATATGTTCCTTTGAGTTGATACAATTGAAGCAGATTCTGTTGTGCTTAACAAACTCGCCTCGCTCTTCTGGAGACTTCGACTTGAAAACTTCGCAACGATACAACGGGTGAAGATTGTTGCACATTGGACACAATTGTTCCTTTGAAACATCATCACGATTATTACTTCGAGCTGTAAGGATAGTTCGTCTTTCACTACTGTGTCTTTGACCACCTCCGAAAACTTTCTCATCTCGATTACTAAAGGGTGATTTGCAACATCTGCACGATCTTTCAGGAAGTCAACTATGTTATGAAATGTCGGCATCGTTGAACTGCCTCGCTCGATTTTCTTCAAATATTCCGCAAATTTGCCTTGCACCCACCTTGGTAATCTGAGGGTCATCTTCTCGAGGTTATCAGCATTCATCTCACCGAGACAATTCATTGAATTTAGAGTATCATACATCACTTGCGCGTCGTCAGCGTATTTCCGCAAACCTTGCTTGTCGTTAGGTGCGATCATTGGTCCTTTGGTCAGAGAGTCTACACATGCGCGTACTATTTGACATGGTCTACCAAATCGATCCTCGAGCAGTTTCATCGCCTGCGTCAAACCACCAGGAATCATCTTGTATCTCTTTACAGCGTTTAACGGCGCACCATCGAGAAGTTGTAACAAACATGACATTTTCGTCGATTTGTCAAGCGGCTTCGACTGGACCAACTGCTCAAATCTTTGCCGAAATACTGCAAAGTTCTGTGGAGAACCATCAAATTTCATTATTTGAATTGTAGGAAAATCGTGAGAAATACCAATCTTTTCGATTGTTGTTACCAGAGAACTGAATTTTGAACGAATGGGGTGGAACCAGTAGGTTGAGGAACAGTAACATCTAGGGTTGGGCGATATTTCGATATTTTGATTTATCGCAATATTTTCAATCACGATTATCGTATCGAAGGTAGAAACTTGAGCGACGATATATCGAAATTATCGTCATGCTTGTGGACTATCGTGATATCGCTTTGTATGTGTATATAGCTTTTATAAAAATCCTAAAAAATTCCTTCAATTTCTAGAAAATGTAGTTTTTAAACAAATTAATACGATTTATTATATAATGTATCGGTGTTTTACAGAGATTTCGAGCACTGATAAAAGTGATAATCTCACATGTGAGATTATTCATGATAATCTATGTGAGATTATTCATGATAATCTCACATGTGAAAATTATCGCTTTTCAATTATTGCTTTTCTGTAAAAATTATCGCTTTTCAAAGACTGGCCTTTATATACATAATAAACAGAAAAATACATGGGTGCTTGGAAATACCAGATTTATTTCGAGTGTTGAACATGATATCTCACGAGTGAGCGCAGCGAACGAGTGAGATATCCTGTTCAACACGAGAAATAAATCTGGTATTTCCAAGCACCCATGTATTATTCTTTATATATTGGTTAATTCCTGGTGTTACGGTCACCAATATACCATTCTAACTTTTATACATCCTAATAATCCCTACTTATCACTGGTAATCTAGTAATCCTTAGTAAACTAGTAATACTTGGTAATCTAGTAATCATTGGTAAGTTAGTAAGCTTTGGTAAGTTAGTAAGTCTTGCATGGTTAGCCTGCGCAGCGGCTCTATGCATGGTAAGTTAGTAAGCCTTGGTACGTTAGTAAGTCTTGGTAAGTTAGTAAGCTAAGTTAGTAAGCTGCTGAAGAATGAAATTGCATGCAAGCTTTGCTTGCGCTGTGTGCCCATGGCATTTGTGTCTGCGGAGACACTGTAGACAATGCATAGACAGTTTTGGTTTATGAACAGTAAATATTAGACTAGAAAAGCCTTCATATTACTTTAATTTGTTGTTTTGCTTGTTTTTAATAAGGATTATATATAAGCTCACTATGCTTTGATATTAATTAAAATTGAAAAATGTGGTCATTGTTTTTATTGCGTTTATCGCGATATTATCGAATATCGTGATAATTTCCTCGACAATAATCGTGAGTTGATTTTTTTAATATCGCCCAACCCTAGTAACATCTTCTTGACCTCCATGAAGGATACTTGTCGCACGATTAGCGTTTGGGTTGTCTCTTAATGGTGACGTTTCCTTTGGTACATTTGATTGTCCAGTGGGAGGGATATGATCAGCTGTAGCTGGATGGGTTGAATTGCGTTCCTGGTATGAATTCGAAGATGAGGATATTAATGGGGTAGAACATGTACGGTTGCTCTCCTTGTCTTTCTCTTTGTGCTTCGCTAACTCGGAAACTTCTTGTTCTGCTATTCGAGCTTCAAGTTCTGCCAGTTCTGTGTTATCTCGTGCGGTTACAACTTCGCTTTCCATCTCAATATGCGCAAGCTCAGGACGTTGATTATATTCAAATTCCTTACGTTTAATCTCCATGTCCATTTTCGCCAATTCAAGTTGAAGAGCTCTTTTCTTTCTACTTTCAGTTTGTCTTTTGATCAATGATGCTTTCGTCGCTGCCAGCTTTGCTTCGTGAAGTTTCGACGTTGCGCTACTAATTTTCGAAATGTCAGATCTGACAGAGGTCTTTTTTTGTCGAGCTACATCTTCCATAACTTGAGCATTAAAATGAACAAGAGAATCAGTCACGTATTGATCTACAGTAACATCGTAAGTTTGTTTTCTGAACGTTTGTTCCTCATACTGCGCACTGACGCGTTTATATAACTCTCCTTTCTTGTCAATTAATGTTAAATAATGGACACAACACGCTTCATATTGATGCCAAGCCAACCATAACTTTGAATGGAATTCTTTTACTTGAACTACATTATCAGAACTGCTTAACAAC